TAGGGTTTAGGGTTTAGGGGCTCGATTTGGGGTTTCGGGATTTTTGGGTTTCCTGGACCTTAAGGAGGGCGTAGCCCCCCGGATCCGGATTGCAATCACCCTTCAAAACCCTGCGGCATCTCGACACCATGAAAGACTGATTGACGATAATCATAAGACTTCACAAGTAGAAAACCAAAGAGTATGACGACTTATACACCGCCGTTGGAAAGCCACGGAGAAAAACCATAGAAGACCCTGCAAAAAACAAGGGCTGGCAAGACCCAGTAAGCTGCTGAGAACTTTTGCAGCGCCTCGTGGCAGAGGATCTTCCTCCCGCTGCCCCGTCTGCCTCCCGAGCTGTACGGCTCGCACCTGCCTGGCCTGAGATGGGGTCAGAAACAATGAGAACGGTCATGCTGATCATGGTGGTGATGACGGTACTGATGAGCCAGAATGAAGGACAAACCGACCGAGAAAAGCAAGCCATGCGAGAGAAACTACAACATTCCGCCAGACAGAAATGCACTGCGTGCAACAGACTAGGGCTAGTGACGAGGAAACCTAAGAGCCAGTCTCAAGGTTGCGAAACTTACTTGAGCGTTTGCACAAGGAAGCAAACACTGTGAAAGCGATCGGGTTATAACCAATCTAGAAGTGCGAAGCTGACTAGAAGGTATAGATCTAGGCCCGGGCAAGGAAGCGTTATCCGATTCGAGGAGAGCTCTGACTGTTGATAGCGAGAAGCAGAGGGCAAATGGTGCGAGAAAGATTCGACAATCAGAGCGAGGCTGAAAAGATACAATTGCGGAGAACGAATCACGTCGTTTGAAATTGCGTGTGACTATCAAAGATGTGAGACCCCATGCCCGAATGCAAGGGGCATCCACGGAGACGACGTCCCCGGGCTGCAAGGGACGATGGAGGAAGCGCTCCGTTTTACCGTTCACCTTGAAAAAGACGGCGAACGGAAAAGACTCTTTGGAGTTTAGGGTTCAAGGTTTAGGCCTTGGAGGTTGGGGCCAATCCGTCTGCCTGTCTAAAGGATCACAACACTGTGCACGGTTTCTAAGGGCATGCTAGTCGTGACACCACACATCGCAATGGAGCGAGGGAGCTGGATAAAGAAAGAACAGTTCTCGGCCGAAACCCCAAATGCGACCTACAGCAGGGACGCCCATCTCATTACCAAGCCTTCACGCGAAATCCCAGCCTCAGCTTCCATGCCATGCTCAAGGCCAGAAACTTACAGAACCTCCAAATCTAGAAGCTGCAAGTTTCTGAGCTCAGAGTCCAGATGCCGACACTAGACCATCGCCGATGCGGAATCGGGCCACCTTGCAAAAGCACGAGAAAAGCGGAAAAGGAGGTCCCATTTGGAACAAGACGATAGACGATAGGCTTCACCATTGTGTCTCGCAGCAGCAAGGCACCGAGATGAGAAGGTGCTTTTTTTCACACCCCGACCGCAACCCGGGTCCGATGCGGATTGAACTTGCGAGGATCGCTGCCGCTTTCTCGAGGCCAAGGGTTGCGATCGAAATTGAAACAGTTCTTCCCCCATGCAGACACGCGGGAGGGTGGAGTCACTGAGCAGCACTACTCAGGGCCTGCTTCAGAAGCTCGTCAATCTCAGTGGACTCGGATAAGGCCAGGTCATCGACCCTGTAGCCGTCGGTCGTCTTCAACCAGGGATCCGCCCTCGCCTCCAGCAACAACCGGAGTCCCCGTGCAGACTGCCGCATTCCAAACCTCATCAGGGCAGTTTCACCGCGCCCGCTTTCGCAATGATTCACATCGGAGCGGCTTTCAAGAAGCACCCTTGCGCACTGCACGGAGTTTTGTGCGGCAGCTTCCAACAGCGCAGTGGACCCATATTTGTTCACCTGGCTCACATCTGCCCGGGAAAGGAGCAAGGCCTTCAAACTCTCCACGGCCGCACATTCTGCAGCCAAGTGGAGCGGAGTGCCGTTTGCAATTGCAGGAGAGTGCAGCTCTGCCTTATTTTCCAGCAGTACCTGCACTGCCGTCACGGCATCCTTTTCTACAGCCAAGCAAAGCGGAACATTTCCGAAGCCGTCTGCCTGGTTCAGATTAGCTCGATGCTCCAGCAGTGGCCTCAGCAAAGCTGTGCCAAGCGCAATGGAAGGGGATCGAAGTGCGAAATGCAAGGGCGTCCTCTGGCTTGCCGCGGTCATCACGTTCACATCAGCTCTGTGGGCCAGTAGCACCTCGACGCTTTTGAGTGCATTCAGGTGTGATGCTTCGCAGGCAACATGAAGGGCGGTAACCCCATCTGCATTCGCCTTGTTAGTTTCAGCTTGATGCTCCAGAAGCAGCCGGAGAGCTTCATTGCAGGTCCCCCTCGCAGCAGCATGCAAGGGCGTCAATTTCTTGGGGCCGATTGCCAGATTTACCTCCGCCCTGTGCTTCAGAAGAAGTAGCAAGGTCTGCGCTGCATTCGCCTGAGCGGCCCCGTACAAGGCGGTGAGCCCCTTACCGGAAGTTCCATCAACGTCGGCGCGGTGCTCCAGAAGCAGCTGGGCATTCCCCGATGCATTACGCAGAGCAGCGCCAACCAAAGGCAGCTTCTTCCCGTCCCCGTTCGCTGAGGCACCCAAGCTCAATAAGAGTCCTAGATGCTTCGTCAGGCGCTGAAGGCCTGCGGCAACGTGAAGATCCTCTCCAACCTCCCGAGCAACCACTTTCTGCTCTTGGAGCTTCAGACGCAACCTCGGCTTTTCCGGTTTAAGGACCTTTCCTTGTCAAAGTCACTGCCGTTTACTTGATCTATGTCCCGACGAGATGTCGTCACCCAAACTTCTATAAACGAGCGCCCGGCGACTCCTGCCAGGAGCCTTGAAACAGAGCCTTCCGCCAGGGCTCCGAGGCTTCCAAAAGCAGAACCGGCTCCCGGCCGGCCACCTGAATCCTCTGCAAGGAGTGCAAAGGCATCCTCTTTGCGGAGTCCTGAAAAACCTGGAGGCTTCAGAAGGTCGGGCTGAAAGTGTGCTTACAGGATCCCAGATGACTTGGGGTTTAGGGTTTAGGGTTTATAGGGTTTAGGGTTTAGGGTTTAGGGTTTAGGGTCTAGGGTCCAGGGTTTAGGGTTTAGGGTTTAGGGTCTGCACCTCCCACCTGGAAGACTGCCTCCCAGATCTCCTCGTCAACGGGGCCAATTCCAATCACCGTCCCATCGACGCAGAGCCTCTGAAGGCGGCGGCTGTGCGTCAACTCCTCCACCCACCCTGCCAGGACGCTGGTCTCCGCGGGGCTCCGCACCAGCACTCGGAGGAAGCTGGCCTCGGCGACACAACACTTGCCCCTACCTGGGGGTTTCCGAAAATAGGGTATCTTAACGTAGTACCCTAAATAGAAGGATCCTTGTTCTAATGACCCCAAAATAAGGTACCCTAATTTTCGGTCCAAGCAACGGCCACGACAACAGCAGCAGGAAGAAGAAGAAGATGATGATGAACAACAACACAAGACGCAATAGCAATAAACACTGACAAGATCAATAACAACAAGAACAAACCTGATAACAAGAGTGCTTTAGAACAGTAATGCAACAGATCAGGCACGATACTCCAAACTGCGGTAGATTGAACAAGTCTCCCAACAAGAAACCTGCAAACCACCTAAGTCCCAGCTAGGGATTCAGGGTGCAGGTGTTGGGTGTATACCAGAGGACAACGAGCAGCAGACCGAAGGCCTTCAAAAAAAAAAAAGACGCCGATCTACAAACAAAAACAAAAACCCCTGGCCTTTGCGAAGCGCAGCTCTTCCAAGACGGGGCTGTCACGGACTGCCCGGGCCAAGACCCAGAGCTCGGAGCGGGCCACCAAACCCAGGTCCTTTCTTCTCTCAAGGGTTTAGGGTTTAGGGTTTAGGGTTTAGGGTTTAGGGTTTAGGGTCTAGGGTTTAGGGTTTAGGGTTTAGGGTTTAGGGTTTAGGGTTTAGGGCACGGTGTCGGGAAGTCGTCGTGGATTTTGAGAGGCCTTTTTGGGCTTCAGGGGCCTGGGGTGCGGCTTCAGAGGCTTTCAAAGCGGACTCTTTTGATGATTGCTCTTGAGTTTGCTTACGCCCTCGGGCAAACATCATCATCCAGAAAGACCCTGCGAAACGGCAGGACTCGGGCGTGCAGTACTCCAAAGGCCCACATCTTTCAGCAAGATGTGCGGTTCCTGCCCTCAACCCAGAACCCTGAACCCTCAATCCCAAGCCTGAAATCCCTGAAACCCCGAACCCTAAACCCTAATCCCTGAAACCCCGAACCCTAAACCCTAAACCCTAAACCCTAAACTCTAAACCCTAAACCCTAAACTCTAAACCCTAAACCCTATATAAACCCTAAACCTTAAACCCCGAACCTGAGCCACCGGTCTCCACCAGCTCTCTGCTGGGCCAAACCCAAAGTCGGCGTTTAGGGTTCAGGGGTTCGGCGTTCTTGGGCTTTTCGGATTTCAGTTTAGAGTGTAGGGTTTAGGGTTTAGGGTTTAGGGTTTAGGGTTTAGGGTTTAGGGTTTCGGGTTTAGGGTTTAGGGTTTAGGGAGACAAAACAGAACCCAAAAAGTGGGCTTCCAACTCGTTCTTGCATCGAACTCGCAGTTCACATGCCGGCTCCTCGCAACCTGGTCAAAGAGGCTCGAGGGTGCAAGGCCATCGCCCAGGGCACACATCGTCTTCAGGAACAACCACCTATCGACTCGGGATTTACTGGGTTCTTGTCAATTTAAGTTACCATAATAGGGATCTATAGTAAATAATAGGGTTTCCTTATTATGGTAACTTAAATTAAATCCCTTAACAAGAACCCAGTTTATGGCTTCAGGATTTTGGGGGCTCTCGGTTACACTGTTTCAGAGTTTAGGGCATGCGCCGCCTATCCCCGTGTGTTTGTAACTTCGAGAACTTGTCCAAGAAGAGAAACTGCTCGCCCAAGTTCTTGATCGAGAACATGATGGAGAGGCACAGCGCGGCGGGCTTAACCTGGTTCGCCTCTACTTCTGCAAAGAAGCCGCCGGGGTTGTACAGTCGGAATGCAACGTAGCTCTGCAAGAGCGTCTGCAACATGGCCTCAACAGCCTCAAGCAGCCCTCGAAGCTTCAAGAAGTGGAAGACCTCTACATCCAGCGGATCTTGCCACAAGTACCGCAGGGTGACAAAGATGTCCGTAGCAATCAGCAGCGGCACACCGAGCAAAAACCAGAGCATCATTGCTGCGGTCGGCCTCGCCGTCAGGCAGCAGCTTTGCAACCGTTCCACCGCTATCTCACGCAGCGCAATGACAAGGACGAGATACGTGAAAGCAATGATGCTGAAGCAGATGCCACTCCACCAGAAGTTGTTGGAAGCTCGCAACTCAAGGCCAACGTTTATGTCCAACGCCAGATCTGCCACAAAGCTCACACGTGCCACCAAGACCAACAGGACGCGGACCAGGGGACTTGAGAGAATCGAGGCTTTGCATCTCACAGCCCAGTTTGCCAGGTCCTCCACAAAGTCATCACCTGAATCTCCCAAGCTAGCTAGCTCTGATGCTTGCACCTCCCCGTGCTCCCTTCCCCCACAAAAAGAAGGAAATGCTAGAATCAGTCCCAAACCACAGCGCTCCAGCAGAGAGCTCCGGTACTGCTCAAGCCGCTCTGCCGGCAGAAAGGGCTCAGCCTCGACATCGGTCTCCATGGCTCTGGCTCGTGCTCGAAACTCCGAAACTCCAGCCAGATGTTGTTGAACTTTTGGGCGCGGATTCAGGCGCTTAGGCTCAGGTTTTGGGGAGAGACACGACACCTGAGGGCGCTGGCCAGCAAAACCCTTCAATGGCGCTGTGAAATCAACTGAGAATCCTTCAAACCCCAAATTGCTTTCGAAAGCGCTGAATGGAGGCCCAAACTCCCATCACCTCCGAAGCTCCCAGTTCTTAGATACTTAGCTACACTTGCCTGCGCCTGCCACTGGATTCTTCTGGAAGTGCATTTTCCGAAAAAACAACATTTCCCACAACCCCACGACCTGAAACCCCCCTCTAGAGCACCCCCCCCCCCCCCCCCCCACATCCCACAACCCTCTAAACCCGAAATCCGCCCCCGGGCATCCGCGCGCCTTCTTTGAGAACCACGCTGGCAGCAGCGGCCGAAAGCGGGCGTGGACGAAGGGGAGGAGGGTTGCCTCTTGCAGGTAGGGTTTAGGGTCTAGGGTTTAGGGTTTAGGGTTTCGGGTTCCTTACACATCCCTACCTTCTGAAGCGGGTCCTGGGTCCTAATAGTAAGGATCCTGCGCACTGGGACAGCATGAACAAAGTGCCCTGGAGCTTCAGGCTAGAAAAAAAGATCTCTCTACAAACGCTAGGCCGCGTGTCTTTGAGTCTCTGAGTAGCTTGGGGTTTCGGTGCGTGATGGGAGCTCCCCAACACTCCGTAGTTTCTAGCTGGGCAATAAAGTCAGGGCCGTATCATATAAGGGCTAGCACAAGGGCCTTTACGAATTGAAGAGGGCTTTGGGGTGGATCTGAGTTATTCAAGCTTCCCTGCTCAAGCCCAAGGCAAAGTGCTCACAGCGATCTTCGAATTGAGACTTGAGGCACGGCAAGCTCTATGTAGGCTCAGCTGGCTTGTTGGGTTCAGGGCTGATGCTTTAGGCTTTAGGCGTGATCCCAGAATGACACGAGGGAGCAGCTGAATGATCAATCAGAGCTCCCACTACCACGCCTCTGCATCGTCGTCGGATACGACTGCCTCACCGCGAACTTAGCAACATCTTCAGTTTAGTAAAGAACGGCCCTAAACCCCAGGCCCTAAACCCGAACCTCAAGGTTCCACTGTACAGTCTTGTGCCATTCGAAGCCAGATGTTCGACGACTATGAGGCTACAGGTTGCGCCTTGTCGGGTGCAGCATCCACAGGCTTTGGAGGTTTCGGGGCGTGTAAGCACTTAATGTGTAGGTTCTGGCGTTTTGGTGAGTTGCTTTTCGGATGCATCGGGCCTGAAATCCTACGATCGCAAACATTCATCCCGGCGCTGGCCTCAAGCAAAGCCGCTGCCATGCCGCCATGGAGAGGCGAGGCCGGCGCAGGCGTGGATCAAGCTACGGGGCTGAAGCGTGTAGGCTTTGAGGCCCTACTCTGGCACATCGGGCCACCTCACCCACTCCTGTAGGCTTGCTTGTAGCTTGCAGCCTTCTCTTGAAGCACAGCTTGGAGGTTGTAGGGTGTGGGAAGGCTAGATGAAATGAGGCTCGCACTTGGAAATATGACCGTGCGAAGCTGCGACGCCGCACGGGGTCTTCTGCATGATCTCGGAACGACGCTGGTGGAAACCAGGCTCTGATTTACAGGCTCGGGGGTCATCTCCACACTCCAACGAATCCATCTGCCATCTTCGGGTTTAGGGTGTGGGGTTTAGGGTTAGTTCACAGATGGCCATCGGCTTCTGGGATGAGAGAACGGAGGCAAATGCTCCCGGCACAAGCAAACCCAAAACTGGAACCCGAACCCGGGCACAAAGGCCTGGAAATCATTCTGCAGGCCATGTCCCACCACGATCTTGCCATCCAACCTTTTTCTGGTGCTCTTACAGATGTTCTGATTCCTCTTCTGGCCATGACTAAGCATCGATGACATCGAAATGCTGGCCTTTGCACAATTTCAGGTAGCACTCGGCAACAGGCAACATCCCGACTCCCCACAGATGCGAGCGCTCCCTGGGTGCACCACACTTTGGCAGCTTCAGCTCGAGCCTCTTCCTCTGAAATGACCTCGGACTTGGGACGGGCGGTATACTGGAAAAAGTTTCAAAAAAGAGGCTGGAGTCTCTGAGTTTTTTGGTGCTGTAGCGATTTCTTCGCACATTTAGAGCCCCATGCCCGAGGCGTCAACTCTCCCATGGCCGGACACCGTCCAAGCCAAGACTCAGCTCCTGCGATTCTACAGCCCCTGCAAGCCTCTGATTCAAGCCTCCAAGAGCCTTTCAAGCACGCTTGGCTCAGGGCCCCTGGTCGCTTGAAGGTGCCAGGGGTGATGCCCGTGATGTGGGTGCGAAAGTCTGTCACCTCAAAGGGCCCTAAACCTGAAGTCCTACTAGGACTCCCCTTGCAAAAGGGGCAGGGTGCTCTGCGGTGCTTGGGCTTCCCGGGCTTGGGGTCTGGACGGGATCTCGTCGGATTTTTCAAAGGGGTTTCATGCGGGTTTCGGGATTTGGGGCTGCATGGGATCAGGTTGGGGTTTTCGGCAGTGGCTTTGGGCAGCCCGAATGCACGGAGATCTGGGTGCCTCAGAACTGACGGTGAATCCAAGGTTCAGGAGCGATTGCAGCAGAAAGGGCTTGCCTGATGCCAGCTGTCGCTGAGTTGTAATACAGAAATCAGCACGCTGCAGAGTTTGACGATGCAGAGAGGTTTTTAAGTCGCGCGGAGGACTCATGGTGCGAAACAAGGCCTCCAACTTCATGTTACATGGTCGGTGGACGGTTCGAGTTGAAAGCTGAGGGAGACGCTGGCCCAGAACTGTCAGCTCCAAGACAGGCTGTCGACGGAACAAACCCTGTCCCTGTACTTAAAGGATCATGGGACTTAGTAAGTAGGGTTATAATTAGGTAACTGTACTTATAACCCAAATTAAGGGACTTATAACCTTACTTATTAAGTCCTATGATCCTCCAAGTAGGCATGAAAGCATCCGAGCAAGCCATGGCCCAGAGGCCTCGTCGAGCTTCAGATGCTGCCTCGCTGCCCTCACCCTTCTGCACTTCCCCAAAGAGCTGGGCAGCTGGCAAACTCTTGCGGCCGGACAAACCTCGTCTTCGGTGCTTGGGCTTTCAGGGTTTGGGTTTAGGGTTTAGGGTTTAGGGTTTAGGGTTTAGGGTTTAGGGTTTAGGGTTTAGGGTTTAGGGTTTAGGGTTTAGGGTTCAGGGTTTGCAGGAAGTTTTCAATCCGGTCGTTGAGCGTGCGGGAGTTGGACAGAGGAACCAATTCCGCCACCTTGGACTCCCTAGCAGCCGTCATGGACTCCCCACATGAGAGGACAAAAGCTTGCCACAAAGAGCCCCAGATGAAAAAACTCAAATGTTCAAGAAGCCATGAAAAGGCTCAAGGACGATGTGACGACGGCCCTATCACTCTGACGCCTCCCAATGTGACAACACGCGCACGCGCGCCCACCCGCCCACCCACAACTACGCACAAATGAGGAGCACGAGAAAATCTGAACCCAACGAAACATATCCGAAAGTAAAGAAGCCAAGTTGGCTTTCCCGGGAGCCCGGCTTGTCCATGAGCACCTTGCCCTCTGAGTCGACCTCAAAGGGGCCAAAGATGGCCGACCAAGCAACGGCAAAGCAAAGGCTCCAAAGACACGCAATCAACGTGGAGCCATCAACGGATAGCAGTAGCAGTTAGTAGCAGTGGGGTCGACGAGAACAAGAAGACCAGGACAGGCAAAGATGCTATTGCCTTCCCTTCTGGATGTGGTTCCTTCTCGGAGACTGTTACAGAGGTACAGAGCATGCCTTGAACGAACAAACTTTGGCTTTCGGGACAAGGAGTTGACGCCAAATGCCACGACGCCCCCAATCATAATTCTGACGTGAAGTTCAACGTAGACCGCCTCCTTCAAAAGAATGCCGGCGAAGCTGCGATGGAAACGCGAGCAAGGACGGACTCCTTGCCAGCCGGGCCTCGTGCAGGGAGGGCTCGCTGTGGATTTATGGTTGCTAGTCCGTCGTGTAGTAGCGTGACAAACGATGAGGATGCTTTTCGAGCACTTCGGGCAACCCTCAAAGTACTCGCAAGGCATTTAGCGAGATGTCAGACGCGAACAGCGTCACCAGGCACCTCGGAAGAGCCCTGTGCGGGTACTCTGGAGGATATCTACTCGTCCGCACTGTCATCGCTTTAAGCCTGACACAACATCTGCTGCACGCCTACAGCCTTAGAACCCCGAACCCCACATCCGAAACCTTCTCTCCTCCTAAGACCTCACACAACCAATGGCCAATCCTGAAGCCCTCCGAGCCAGAAACCCTTCAGCCACACGACCGAACCTGAACCTGAAAAACTGGCAAACGCAAAAAAATAAACTGAAATCTACCAAAAACTCTGAAGCAAAAAACACAACAGCCCTTGATCCTCACCCCTCCTTGGGGAAAGCAGACTACAACTTACCCAACGAAGCAGCGCCCCGCATGAGCTCATCTGGGAGCTCCGGGAGTCCGGCCCACGCCGACCATCTCGCAGTCGAGAGCCACCACCTGGTACCCCCTAGGTGCCCGTAGCGCCCTTTGGGGCACCAGAGAAAGGGAAAAGGTACCCTCTGCAGGCTGCAGGGCCAAGGGGTCTTCAGAGCTTAAGGCTTCGCATTGGGATTTTGAGGTCCTATACCTATAACGAAAATCTCCGTATGCTCACGTTGCTTTCACCTCCACTGCACGGGTTGATGTAGCAGTCATACATGTACTCCATCAGCTTTCTCGCGACCCAACCACTGAAAGCCTCGTGTCGTCCGAGGCCGATGCGTTTGCTGCGCAACCGGGTGGCCTGGATTAGCTACAGAGCAACAGTATCGAGGGTGCAATACTTGCAGTAACTAGTGTCACTGAGTGCCGATGTGACGATACTGGCAGTACTTCACTGCTGTTCATCTATAGTCTGCAAAGCTCACAGACCAGACCAACGAACTCTACAAGTGGCACCGA